AGGAAAATGGAGTTGTTACCTTAAATTATTCATACTTCAAAACAATTGGTTGTGTTCTCAGTGTAATGTGAGAATGCTACTACTATGTTGTTTTAGTTAATCACAAACCATAGTTTGTAAACCGTAATAGCTTTCATTTTAAGAAAAACTTGCACACCAAAAATATTTCTATATAATTTTCTCTATATAAATATGGGAATGATGACCTACATTTTGATCAGATGCCACATTCTGAAAACCTAAAAATTAGGATAAGAACACTTTAGGCCAAAAATGGCAAATCAATGAATGAAACAAAGCAGCATAGAATATTACAATATAATTCAAACTACTGTACTCTGTTTCTGCCTCCATTACGTTAAGAAAAATAATATAATTAATCTGGGATCCCACTGAAATCCTTTGTATTTATATCTAGAAAGGCTATGCAAAACATTTGCAAAGAACATTGGTGTAATATGTCAAATTATTAATGCAGGCATCTCCAGAAGATGGCTGCTCCAAAGGCTTTCTATGCAATATACTTATATGTGCATAGGTATAAACAACATTATATTATATGTGCATAGGTATAAACAACTGTGATTACTAATGAAACAGCTATGTATGCCTGTATATCAAGTTTTATAGAGGATGAAGATGTTTTAATACTTAAAGGTGATTTTTTTGGGGGGGGCAACTTGCTTCATGAAGCATCTTTATTGAACGCTTTGTGCAGCATTATTTAGTAATCATAAATAGTATTATTCAGCAAACATTTATTGGAATTTTATTTAGGCATTGACAAAACTATACCTGGTCTGATTTCCTCTGAGTGAGTCAAACTGAAAGTCTCCCAATGAAATCCAATGCTATATACTTGAGAACTCCTGGTTTTACAAGGCAGAAGTGCACTAAAAATAAGCTAAATATATTGATCACAGAGAATGGCAAAAATGCTATCTGTGAATATAATCATCAACAATCCTTATGTCAATCTACATGATTTTATGGCGCAAATTACAAATTATTTAGGACAGAATAATGCAATGTTTGAAGCATTTTGCATATTTGAAATGTTGAGGTCCAAGCCGAGTAAAGAACTTTTTCATAAATGGTTACCAATCATAAATGTGAATCTTTAGATATCACAAGAACCTCTGTAATCTTTTTTTTGATACAATGTAATATCTAGACTGAAATCACTGTGAATACTTCAAAAATGGTTGATCATCTTTTCTTCTATTATTCATATTATTATATTTCTAAGCGTTTTTCAAAGAGGGACAGAATAACTCAAATACATTAATCTATATATTTTTGTGTTTTATCTACACCAGAGGTTGCTTACAATTTCTAAACCACAGAAGTCTAAAGTGAGCCTTCCACAGGCTTTCAAAAGATGCTAATAAGGTGTAATTTTTAACTGATTTCAACGGAAAATTATAAAATGGATACTAAACTACAATATGATTAGACCGTAATCATATTAAATTTAAAATCTTTATTGTCAGTGCACAACATATGTACAATGAGATTGGTTGAGCTCCCTCAGTGCACACACACCCCCAACATCATACAACTCACAGTCAAGACAAAAAATCCCTAATCCAATAAATCATATTAACAAAAAATATATTTAATTAAATGTGAACAAGTTTTTGTATTTTCAACACTATTATATTTTTGCACTGCTAAGGTCACGAAACTCTCAATCCTGAAAAAGTGTTAAATCCACGTCTGGATATAAAGAAAATTGACACATAAACAATTACAGACTGACTCCATGTATTAAACATGAAGTAATTATGTGAATAAAAAGCAAAGCTGCAGAAATATGATTCAAAGAATGTCAAAAATATATCACTATATCTGAGAGTAGATACTCAAAGAATACACATTATATATTTGTCAATTGCATATAATTAAAGGCAATGTGACATTTCCACTTTTGTTCACATTACGTTTTTTAAATGTATGCCCACTCATAATCCCACAGAGTGGTTTCTCCTTTCAGGGAAAATATGTTCTTAAGAACTTATCACTTAAGTTTCTTAGGGTGGAGGTGGGGGAAAATGGAAGAAAGCTCACAGGCCAACAGGATTTGCACAAAACATACAATGTATGCTCCTTTTCCAAAGAAAACAGGTATAGCACATGGACCAAGGACTTTTTAACAAACTTTTAGAACAGCAGTAGGTTAATCTCATCAGAATAACATATTAAGAACCTCTTCAAATAATTGGTAATAAGATCATAACCTCATAAATTAATTCAGTGCCTAATCATATATTCATACTAGTAAGTGACCAATATAAATAATCTGCTCTTAAGCTCTATGCACATCAACTCATCATAAGGTAGGGTTGTCAATTTGTATATGTAATTAAATAACTGATTCTGATATTATAACCAACCTGCACAATTTACAGTTACTGTATTGCTCTATATAAAACCAGAAAAATTAGAACTATTTCAAAAATGTCCATGCCACTGTACAAAAAAAATTCATGTTTGTCCACTCAATTAATACATTAAACTTAACTCAATAGTTTTTAAAATTGAAATGTCAGAACTAGTATATATATTCTAGTAATGTGACATTACTGATGAAGCCAATTAAAATACATATTGAGCCATGAGATCCAGTTTTAGTTTAACATAATCTGCAGACCTACCTACATTTCTTTATTGATATTTGGGGTTTTTTTGTGGGGTGAACTGTATATCGCCTAAGCAAAACATACCATGCTGAGGTTCAGTGCTATATATACATCAGAAAAAAAAACTGATTTTTACTGTTCTCTAAACATTCTCTATTATCAGAAATAGATTTGATACATTAATTTTGATATTCTTTGCACACAGAATCACTGACTTTTATGTGGGGCATCCATATATTCTCTCTATGCATGCTGTAACAGTTCTAAGCCTGTTACTATCAGAAAACTTTTAAATATTCACTAATATGAAACAATTTCATGGCAGGAACAGTAAAACTCTGTGAACAATGTTTACCCACCAACATTTTACAGGGTCATCTGTAAGAAAGCAAGCAGAATGAAGAATATTTATCCTGAATACAAACTTTGTTTCTCTTGTTCAAGTTAACTTTTGCATACACGATTTGCACAGATCTCATTTACCAAACTCATCAGGTGACTAGAACATCCAGTGAACACTTTCCACATAATATATTAAAATACTAAATGTGTTATTAATATGATTAGACATATTGATTACAGTAAAAAATAACAAAACTTCCTTAAAAAGAGTAACATTTTATCCCTGAAAAAATCCCACTGGTTTAGTCACTTCAAAATCAACTAAATTAATTGAAAAATACTACTATATTTCATTGGTTCTTAAGAAGCGTCTACTCAAATACAGTTAAAAATGCAACAAGATTTAAAGAGCATTTTGAAAGCATATCTAGTCAAATAGGCAGAAGATAAATGTAATATTTTTTTTAAAAAGAGCTGACATGTTAAAATTGTGAATTACATGAGCTCAGGCGAAACTATAGAAAACCACCAAATTTCTATGTAAACTGGAGTGGATACTAAGATTTTATTTTTAATCTAAGTACTGCTTCAAAACATACTTTCGATAGACTGTACTGTTGTCAGTGACAGTTGCCAAACTATTTGTTTAAATGGGCAAAGTTTCTATCTTTACGAAGGCCAACTATTATTTGTCATTATGTTCCTTAATCAATAGTGAAGCTTTGGCTTAGGTCAAAATGAAAAGCTATTGCTTTTCAAGTTTATAGATATATGTACACCAACAGATTCAACAACTTTAAATCCCCAAGCCTTCATGTTACAAAAATCCTTGATGAGAGAATGCCCTTATGGTTGTGTTTGCAACCTTCAGTTGAAGCAACTGTCAACTGAAATCATCTCATAAAGGTATGAAGCAATTATGGAAGAAATCATCCCCCAAATTCCTCCCAAATGACAACTGTGCCCTACTTCAGAACTAGGTTGTTTTTGCCTGCTGATTTTCAAACTGTGTGCAGTTTCGGTTATCGATAGTGGCTCCAAAAACCAACTTTGCAAACATCCCAGGTGGGTCCGCTGACTGAGGCGCGACAGGTACGAGGCCGAAATCCCGTGAGTTATATTTATTCTTCTGGGTAAAAAAAAAAAAAAAAGGCTCGGCCACTTAGCAGGGAAATTAAAAGAAACAACAGATCCCTTACAAAGGCCTGGGAGAAGCGTCCTTCCCTGGGGCAAATGACGGCCCCTCCAACCTCCCTCTTCGTTTCCTGTGACGGAAACTTGGGCTCTCCATTGCTCGCCAAACCGCGGCACCCCGGCTTGCTGTATCCCTTAGCTGCAAGGCCGACTTCCTTCCCCCACCCCCAACCCCAGCCTTAGAGACTCAGTGACAGCCCCGGTCGAAGGAGCGAGAGAAAGAGCGCAACGAGGCTCGCAGGCAAATTAGCCAGGAGAGGCCGGCGTCTCGTCCTTTCGCCAGGCCGAGCCAAGCCAGGCCCTGCGCAACCGACGCAAGCCTCACTTCACTCACCGGGAATGCTCGGATCCGCATTTTGGTGTCCCTCCGGCTACCCGTCCCCTTGCTCAGGTTCGACATTTTGGGGCTCGGCGAGAGCGGAGCCCCTTCCTGGGGACCAGGAGGAAGCGGAGAGGGAAAGGGATCCGGGAGAAGCTCCCTCCGGCGACAACAACAGAGGCGCCGGCGACCTTTACTCAGACAGTAGGCAGTAAAAAGCCGAGCCGTGGCAGGCCCAGGAGGGCCGTCTATTCTCGCTCGGCGGCGGCGGTAGTAAGCGGCGGCGGCGGCGGCGACTCCCTCAGCCTCCTGCGCCTCCTCTTCCTCCGCCGCGATGGCGGCCAAACATCGCTCAGTGCGCAGGGCCGAGAAGGCCCCCTCCCCTCTCCCCGAGACACAGACACAGACAGATCAGGCGGGGGCGGCGGCGCAAGAGAGAGAGAGAGGGGGGGGAGGGAGGAGAAAGGGGAGGAGCACAGCCGGCGGGGAGGAGGGATGAGGGGGAGTGGCGTGGAAACCCAGCGAGGAGGGGGAAGATTCGGCAAGTCTCGCGAGAGCTCCAAACGGCTGCCGCGGTAAACGAAAAGTGGCGTGGAGGTGGGGAGGGGGGAGGAAGTATTGTTTTTCTACTCGACTGCCGCTGGGGGCGCGCGAGCGAACGGGGCTGGTAATTGGACGGCGGCGGCGCGGTGGCGACAGGATTTCGTTGTCACGCGGTAAAAGCTCAGAAAGAGGAGGGCCGATTCATACGTAGCGTTGCTCGACTGGTTCCCCTCCGCCCGCCCCTCCCCCCTTTCGTTGTTTGCTTGACACGTACATCAATACCTAGTTCTGGCAATCCACACATCTTTTGTGATCTATTTGGTTTCTTTCTTGTCTGACAAGAAACAAAAATGACACAGTTTTTAATGGTCTGAAAACTATGGAAATCGGTGGCTTTCACAAATCTAATGTCACACGCGTATATATTACATCGCAAAACCAGTTTCTGAACCAATTCAGGCTTCTAATAAACTAATTTACAGCAAATCAAAACTCAGGTTGATTTTGGACAGATCCATATGAAAATTGTTCTAAAGAGTAGTTTTCATCCTAACTGCTGCCTAACTCAAAACCATACGTGTTTGGAGAGAACTCTGAAATAACAAAAAGTAGGTTAAATATACACTAGCCTTTGACTTACAACCACAGTTGAGCCCAGAATTTCTGTTGTTAAGTGAGACATTTGTTAAGTGAGCTTTGCCCCCATTTTATGACCTTGCTTGGCACAGTTGTTAAGCTGAATCACTGCAGTTAAGTTACTAACCTGGTTGTTAAATAAATCTGTCTTTCCCATTGACTTTGCTTGTCAGAAGGTTGCAAAAGGTGATCACGTGATCTTGGGAAACCACAACAGTCATAAATATGAGCCAATTGCCAAGCATCTGAATTTTGATCACGTGGGAGTGCTGCAAAGGTAACTCTGAAAAACAGTCATAACTTAAGTCACATTTTTCAGAACTTTGAATGGTCACTAAAGGAACTGTTGTAAGTCGAGGACTACCTGTATTAAGGCAAAATGTGTGTTGTCAACCAATAGGCATACCAGACTGCTTTCTGCCTGAACACACACCTAAACTCAAGTCTCTATTTTAAGACCGATTTTTTTCCTGTCACTGTGAAACTAAATTAGGATATGCATATCTAATTTCTATGTCTACTGTTTAAGCCACTATGTCTTTGATCATGTGATCATGGGGATGCTACAAAGGTGGTAACTGAAAAATTATCATAAGTCACTTTTTTCAGTGCAGTTGTAACTTTGAACCGTCACTAAATGAACTGTTGTAAATTGAGGACTACATGTACTGGCTGAGTACAGCCATGTAAAGAATTGTAGTATGTTCAACCCTGTGCATCTTGTTCAACATGTTAAGGAACCATATTTTACAAACCACAGTGTGGGAGCTTATCAAATAAATGCTAAGCGAGAGAAAACCAATCACAATAAGGCTATCACTGTAAGTGAATTCTGTTACATTACATTTTTAGTGGAATAAATAGATATAACAAACTTTCAAGCAGCCAATGTGAGGGACAATAGTACATTGGCATGTACATCTTCACATTAAATAACATGTTCCGGGGCCATTTGAGGGACATAAACAAATGAGTATTTTGCTTCTTCAGAGATTCATGGATAAGTGCTGAGGGTTTTTCTTCCCCCTTAAAATTTTTCAAATTGTCTAAAGAACATGCTGGAGAAATGAAAACACTGCTTCACAGTAAAAAGCTAAAATACAAGTCATAAACATAAGATCATAACAGTAAGGAAGGACATTTCGTGAAAACAACGTTTAACAAACCATTGATAGGTGTGTCCATTCATTATGCAAGTTTCCTATTAAAGGTTTAAGACTGAGTGACACACCAGGAAATGAATTGCTTATGTCAAAATAAAACAGCAGCATATATTTCTTGTTACATTTTTACTAGGTATCAGTACTCTTTTAATAGGAAACAAAAGTATCTTTTATAAATGAGTAGTGTTGGAATAAGTTGAATTTAACTATGCCACTGTAAATATATTGCATTTCTACCCAAATCTGGATTAGACAACTATGAAAGCAAATATTTTTACTATTGGATTCAATCAGAATTCTAGTTTAATTGGTGGATTAATTAATTTTATAGGACCATTTATATAGATGTTATTTTTAAGAATGCAAAACAAGCAAAAAAACAAGCAATATGCCTCTTTTGAGGCATATATTTTTATTTCTTGATTAAATAGTAACAACTATACTTCCCCCACTAATCACATGAATTACTGAGTTTGAAATGCAAAGAATGGTATAATATAAACGTGACAATGTCATTCTGCATAAAAGTGAATGTTTTGTGGAAATGTCATTTCAGAATTTAACAGAATTGTATAGGCTTCTGATTCATGAGCTCCTTTTTCATCCATCTCTTTGCTTAGAGAAATTAAGAATTTAATTTTAAAAAAAATTTATTCTGTCAGGTACAAAGAATCAGGACAATAATTTAAGTTCCAGTTAAGAAGATTTATTGTTCCAGCCTATATATAAGAATCTACTCAATTAATGGTCAGCACTAAATTGGTGCTAGGTAAGTGTCAATGGTATTCAAGGGGGGCTGGACTTGGAGCATTGGTGAATACATAATGATTCTAGACTGAGTCATCTCTTGACTCTGTCCCCAGGTTCTGCCTCTTCTACAGGTTCTTTGGAATTTGCAATACATATACATCAGAATATATTTTCTATTTGTTATTTACTTCTATCTATGGTTAAAAAAAGGAATTCATAAGGATGAGATCAAATAGCAATAGCACTTAGATTTAAATACCGCCTTACAATGCTTTACAGCCTTCTCTAAGCGGTTTACAGAGTCACCATATTGCCCCCAACAATTTGGGTCCTCATTTTACCCACCTCGGAAAGATGGAAGGCTGAGTCAACCTTAAGCCTGGTGAGATTTGAACCAAATTGCAGGCAGCTGGCAGTCAGCAGAAGTAGCCTGAACTATTGCATTCTAACCACTGCACCACCACTGCTCATGCTGCTATTTTTAGGTGAACTCCTATGTAGGTGAATTCTTATGTAGGTGAATTCCTGTGGCATCTCTGTACCAACTTTGGGCTGTTTGTTGTTTGACAGATTTGTGACATGGACTTCTTAAACCAAGAACCACAGAATGGAATGTTGAGATGATGCAAGATCCTACAGCATTATGCACATCTCCAAAATAAATACAGAATAAAAATACAAAAGTTAAATATGCTAGAAAATAGCTAAGAAAGCTGCCAGCTAGCAACTGATAATCTGGAAAATGAAGTAGAAACATAATTTCCATATCTATATTATAGCCATCTTGTTTCCATAATAACAAGAAATATGTCCAATGTTTCAACAACTATCAAGGAACTTAAACGGATTTTTAAAAAGTAAGTTTTAATTAAGAATTACTATGAAGTTACTCAGAAATGTGATTCCCTGTTTTCATTCAAGTCTTATTTTTGGGGATTTAAGGCCTTCCTTTGAACTGCTGACATAAACTACATAATTAAATGCATATATAACATAATATGGAAGAATTAAACATGCTTTCATAATGGCAGACTGAAAAAATTAAATATAATTTGCAGTTTGGCAAAACTGATTCATACAATATGCAAAGCTTAAAAGTGGCTTGCATCATTTCAGACTGATAATGGGAAATAATTTTTCTTCTAGATATAATTTGTATTATGTGTGTACCTCCAACCACATTAAATTATCTATTACTAATGTGTAGAGACAACTTAGTTTGCTTATATCCAAACCTTATTTAGCAATTAAACTAATCAGATGTTTAAGCCATTTTGATATAATGGTTAAACTCATGAGTCTAGAAAGCGGGAGACAGAGAGTCCTAATCCTGCCTTAGGCTTAAAGACAGCTGGGTGACCTGAGGCCAGTCACACTCAACTCTAGAAAGGAACTAATGGCAAACTAATTCCCAAAACTCTATGTAGATAGTTATCTAGTCACCAATATCAAGAATTACTTGAAAGCATGTGCACACACAAGATTTTTAACTTGGGGGTTCTGGACTCGCAACTCCTGCTTGAAGAGCAGGTGGCAATTGGGCTAGAAGAATCTTTGTACAACTTCATGTTCTGTACCAGTTGTACCCTTTCTTGCCTCAAGTGTTTTTGTGCTCAGTCACTCAAACCCTGGTCATCTCATGCTTGGATTATTGCAATGCATTCTACATGGGGCTACCTTGAGGACTATTCAGAACCTGCAACTGATATACAATGTGGCAGCATAGGCAGTTCTTGGGGGCCCTAAATTGGCCCATGTTACATCGCTGTTCCACGAGCTGCATTGGCCTCGATTTGCTTCTGGGTACAATTCAAGGTATCAATTCTGGTTATTATCTTTAAATCCCTTCATGACAAAGATCCAAGCTATCTGAGGAATTGTTTTCCCCCAATTTTATCTGGGTTATCTGGATTTATCTGTCCTACCCATACCAGTAGAAAGGATATGCTGAAAGGAATTTCAGCTGAGGAGTCCAGGAGAAGACCTTTTTCTGTCATAGTTCCTGTTCTTTAGAGTATTGTAGCCCCCAAGTGGCATCCGCACCCATCTTCCTGATCTTCTGTAAGGTCCTCCAGTTGGCCTGGGGCCTCAGTGGGGGTGCATGCTCTGGAGGTGACTTTTGGATTAAGAGGAAACTTCACCTCTCCCTGTGTACTTCATGCTGCCTTCCCCCTATCTATCAACTGTAAATTATCATTATTGTTATTTATTGTTTTATCATTTTAATATTTATTGGTTTTTAATATAAACTGCCCAGAGTTGCTTCTAGATGAGATGGTGACACATAAACAACAACAACAACAAAAAACCCAAACAAATATTTAAACATCTGCAGGTAGCATAAAGGATGGCCCCAAGCTTGCTGGTCCTGTTTCTTGTCAGCCTTCAGTGAAAGAGATGTTTGTGTCCCAGATTGAATGGGGATTGAATGGGAATAGAATGTCATCTATTCAAATAGATGACAACATAAAATGGCCAAGTTT